GTTAGGTTATATCCAAGTAACGTCTTCCTATGGGCAACGACTTGAAGGCACAAACTAAACTGTTCATAATTTATTCTTTATGGTACGCCAGCATTCATAACATAAAATAACGTAACGTAAAATCAAGGGCTCAATGTCAAAAAAACGTTGTTACCCTTTAATTATAACTGACACTAACTTTAGTTATCAATGGATAAAAAAAAGTGTTGCTGGAAGAGTTCCCTCCAATAATCCAGCATGGTTGAAGTGCTGAAACCTGTCAGTCAATCCTGGAGTCTTGTCAGCAACTGACCAGACAAACGTTATTGTCAATTTGTCTGTAGAAAGTGTATTTAAAATGAAATTTCTTTTTATATATCATATATAAAGATGCAGGATAATTTTACAGGCGAATAAATGAAGCACCTCCTTACCTGACGGATCTAATGAGGTATTCTGCCTTATGAAAAAAACTCACAGCTAATTTGATCGGCCAAAATAAGCCAGTAAAGTTATTTCAAGACAGCAACGGAAAAAAATCAACATTACAGTCCAAACTTTCACTAACAAAGGATGAATTCAGCTGTAACAAAAGTGGGTGAGTAAATATAGCATGTGAACAAGAAGGAGAACATTTGAAGCATATTTTTATCACGTGTTTAATCAGGCTGTTTATAAATATTTGTAGCTCATGCCAGCACTAGGTCAGTTTATAACCAGGTGTTTGATATTAAATAAGCAAAAGAAGCGCTGGTGAAGATTCTTAGTCATCCAAGTCATAGTCATTCTAAAAAAGTATAAAAAAAAACAATCCACTGGACTTTGTTTCCGACCTTGTTTGAAGACGTTTTGCTTCCCATCCAGGAAACATTTTGAATTGAAAAAGCTTCCTGGATGGGAAGCAAAATGTCTTCAAACAAAGTCAGAAACAAAGTCCAGTGGATTGGTTTTTTTACTTTTTTGGAAAGCCTTTTCCAAACTAAACATAAGCAAACAATGTAACTACAACAAAATTAAGAAATGGTTTATACAGACGAAGAAACCGCTTTCTCCAGCTGATTACTGTTCAGCTGCTCATAAGCTGGTAGCCATGTCAACCTTTTGACGCCTTTTCAGCATTAACAGTTTTCCAATCTCTAAATACTTTGGGTTAGCATGTCTGAATCACATGATCCCCACTGATAAAAATTAGTAATTTATTTTAAAGTCTCTTTCTTAAAGTATTCATATATGCTATGTTTTTGTCATGCAAATGTCCAAAAAGCCTTTAACAGGGTGCGTAATGTTATACTTCCAATACAGTCTGTAATAATTACGTTCTTCCTCTGGCTGTGAGGGACTTTGTCTTTGTGATTTGTCCGTCGTTTCCCTGAGAGAAATCCCCTGACATGTCCGACTCTTTCGAAACGCTTGACTAAATGCATTAGGTAATGTCAGCTTCACTCTCTGCCCATTACAGTTCTCTTGTGTGGTCGGCGGGCATTGCCATCTACATTCCCATGTGGGTGGAGTGATCTTAGAATTGGCATCACATCGTTTCAGTGACGATCTCTGCATTTTCCAGCCTGATGATGGAGCAATATTTCAGAGCCAAAGTGACCATGAAGACGCAAATAGGCCACACTACCAGGATTGTGGACCAAGAAACTCCCTAGAATTGCAAACCAGCAGGAAACAGTAGATTTTATAGCCTGGGTGCCATTCCGAACTTAGTCCCGCCCACAAGGTTTGAGGTCGGGAAGTTCGGTCTGGCATTGCTCCATACAGTAGTAGCGCGAGTATGATCGCCCGCTCTCTGGCGATCCAATCAAATTGTCAGGGCGGGCTTTATACGATGATGGACAGATGATCAACAGTAGCGTAATCAACCACGTGACCAAAGCGCGCTTGGGTGACAACAACAATGGCTGCCGCCGGAGAGTTGAGGTGAGTAGATTCTGCTATTAGGTCTGTTCTAGAAGATATCGACAGCAAATTAATTTTAAAAGAGGAACAGAGAAACGCGATCAAGGCTCATCTTCTTATTCTAGGCGTGAAACTGCACGCTTTGATTTTTGACAACAACTATGCGTGGCTTAACATACGTCACGCACTCCGTTGCTCTTATTGGTTGTAGGTCTATCCAATTGAGTGCAGAGGCATTTTTTTTCCTGGTTCGTTGAAACCACGCCCCATAATCACAGCTCTATGGAGCAGTATCAGACTCATATTCTGACTAGAATTGAGTAAGACTACGTCAGGCTATAGATTTTATGCAATTAAAATAAAAATCTTAGATTTTTCTTTAATATACTATTAAAAGATTTGTAAACTGTTTTAATGTAAGAAACCAGGCCTAAGGCTTTCTCTTGTAATTCATGAATTGTACAGATGTAAGACACACAAATCTGACCTTGAAGGTGGCAGGGGACGTCGTACTCAATTTCCTCATGGCGTGACGGACTGAGGAACAGCGTCCCATCCACCAGGGGGAACTGCTCAAACACGGGCAGTGAGCGATGGCATAGAGCACAGTTAACCACGTTCCTCTGGCTTGCACTGAGAGCTGACAGTATAAACCTGCAGGATTGATGTCAAAAAGAAAAAGTCAGGATAAGACCATCTTTTATTGGTCAACTTTTTGGCTGACGAAGAAGTAATCAGCTCTAAATTACTTGCACATAAACTGATGCAATAAAGGTATGCAGTTGCTGGCATGTAGATGTAAAACCACAATGAGATTTCTTCCCTGCCCTAAAGCTGGTTTTGATAAAAGAGGAATATTTAGAGAGGAAACAGGAAGGAAGCTGAAAAACTGTTACCAGAAAAACCTACACTGTTGTTTAGGATTGTAGGTTCCTTTGCGTTAAACCGGTCGTCCGACTCCTTCCAGAAATGTTTACTTCTTCCTTTGTTATTTTTGCTGCTTTGGTAAAAAACTTGTTTTGCAAATAAAACTGAGCTTTTCTGCTAAAACTTGTATCCAATGTGTCTAAAAGCGCATCATTAAGCCAAAGACACACAAATGTAAAAATCCATCAGTACTTTATAAGTTAACCAACATTTAGAGTTAATTTAAAATCTATGGAATGAAAAACAGGGCATAGTTTGCCTTTATTAGCTCGGTCAAAGAGAGAGACATAGTTAGACACTGTATTCAAATATCACAAAGTTTAGTGCAGCTTTCTGAATATATTTAAACCAAAAATCTGAAACCTCTAGATCACAGGGTTTACCTGCGTAGCTCCTCCCCCTGGCCTGCCTGGGCGTCGTCCTCCATGCGGACGTGGTAAGTGTTGAGTTTGTGGCGGGGGACGTGGGTGAGGAGCTCCGAGAGGTCCAGCCTCCTCAGGAACTGCACCGGGTGAGCGTGGGTACTGTCCCCTCCGCCGCCGGAGGTGAGACGGGGGTGGAGTGGGAGGGCGAAGGACAGCTGCAGAGGAAAAACAGACCCTGGATCGAGGTGTGCGCCACCGGCTGAACCAGGGGAGCATCCGCCACCCCGACTCAGAACACCTCCAGCCAGCAGGTGTTTTCTCTGCGGGTCCATGTGGACGGCTGATTTGAAGAATTCGCCCAGCTGGCGGGAACCCCGCATACCTGCTCCCCCTGATCCCAGGACAGGGGGGGAGAAGTTAAAACCGCTGGGAGGAGACAATCCTGGGGAGTCGCAGGGAGATTTCTGAGGAGGCCCCAGGGGAGATAGTCCTCCTGCACCATGGCCCCCTCCTCTTTCTATGGAGTTCTGGCGGTCCACCGATTGTCTACGAGGTAACTCCTGACTGGAGGCCCTGTGGGGTAATTTCCCCCCTCCAGAGGCTCCAGTTGGCTTGCTCTTCTTGGGCTCTTCAAATGGACCATCTCCAGACCCCACAGCGCCCCCAGTCCTCCCAGAGCTCCTCTCAGACGGCTTCTTTTTGCGCTCATCCTGCATACGTTTCACCTGATACCAGTCGGTGTCCTTCTTCAGGTGGCCCTGTCCGCAGCGGCATGAGCAGAACCTGAAGGCCAAGTCGTAGCCCTTCTTGGTCCACATGTTCTGCCGGCACTGCTTCTCGTTCCAGGAGCGGGCACGGCCGATGCAGTTAAACTGAACGAGGATGGAGCTCTCCCACTCATAGAAGCACTGCAAATGCATCCAGTTGCCGTATGGGCAGAGCTCGTTGTTGCAGAGCACCCGCTGGTGGTCCTCTTTCTCCAGGTCGATGGAGCGGCCCAGGCTGCAGCCCAGAGGGGAGGCGCACTGGACCTCTGTTTGAACAGAGAGAAGAGAAACCAACTAGTCAAACATCTAAAACCCCAAATAATGAGCCAAGAGGACTCTAGAACCAAGATATTTCTGAAAAATGTAAAAGTTTTGATCTAGAAACTTCCAAATAAACTAAAATTAAATTGGAATTGGGTGTTTGGGCCATAAGTAGAACATTGTATTGGAGAATTTGCCTCATTAGATTAAGTTAAAAAAAAAAATTATAATTTTTAAATTTAAGACTAAACCATTCAAAATAACAAAAATATCATCAGCAAGCTTCTGCATTAAACTCATTGTCTTTAGTAACATCAAAATGGGTCAAAGTTTCAGCTATATAACAAACACTGTCTACAAAATAAAAAAATATACTGATAAAGATGCAAAAGTATAATCCAGAACCCGAAACTCTTCAAGTCTGCTGTGAACTGGAAACTAGTAAACCACCAGTATCACCATCTGCAGTAAAGTTAGTTTAACATCATGATGCACTGATAGATTACTGACCAATAAAAAACAAAATAAAAACAAACATTCAACCAATCCCAAATTAAACCATGTCTGAAATATACAACTAAATGTCAACTAGAAAAGTTTTATTCTCAGAAGAAATGAAAAGTTTGTAGGAGTCAATGCGAGTCTTTCAAATTTAAGAACAAAGCAACTGACATGTATGGTGGTGGTGGCATCATGCTGGGGTGCATCACCTGTGATCCTATAATAATGAAGCCAAAGGGGCCTCCATATTCTTATACTCTGAGCTCAAATCAACATATGACTGAAACATAGATATAACGAGGTTTGCCGACAGGAAAGACCTGAAAAACATCAAACGTGTTCCTAGAATCACTAAATCTGGAAAACATTAAGCTTGTTGGACGACTCCGACTTTAGACAGAGCTGTTGACAGAAAACCACTTCAACTGAGCTCTACCGATTCAGAAAAGTATAGCAGTCAAATAATGTCTCCTAAAGTCCTACTTTTTTCTCTGCTGCTGTTAACGATCGTTTACCCAGTTGTATGTTTCCTGAAGGAACAGTTCAGAATAACCAAAACTCCAAGATGTCCCCAATAAAATTTACAAATGTAAAAGACATTTACAATTTATAGCTAAATCCTTTGTTCGAGCTTTCAACAATGCGTGTTACTGTTCCAAACACTGAGTCACACAAGTTAGATGAAGGCGTATGGGATGTCATTTCATCCACGCACTGACTGAGATTCGACAGCTGAGCCTTTGAAGGTTGTTCATCATATGCTGAATTAAAATCAACAAAATTATTTTAAAAAATGTCAGTAATAGCATCAATATCTGGAGTTCTACTGGGCCTTTAGAGGGTCAGCAGGGTTTTTGGACCGAAGGCAGCCGTCTGAGGCTGGATGGAGAGCCAGCAAAAGCTGGCAGACAGTTTGAGTGAGGAGCAGCTCATGATAACATTAGGGGGTGGGGGCGGGGGGTTTCCTTCTTCCTTTTCCGGTGCACTGCCAGCTGCGCTTAATAGTCGATGTTTCATTTTATTTAATTTTGAGCATCATGACAAAATCTTTAAAAAGTTCTCAATCGAAATGTCTGCACAGTCGTCTCGTTGAGTTTTAAACGAATGATCAACGTTTTCATCATCATGCATATTATAAATGGTGTTCAGTCTCCTGCCTCATTCTATTAATGCAATATTGTGCAAGTCTTTAATAAATGTAACATTTATTTTGGCTCAGGGATTTACCTTTTAGCAGTTTTTTTTTTAGTTTTTTATATTCAAACAACAGCAAAATAAAACAGAACGAGGAACACATTCATGAAGGGTAAAATCTGATAACAAAAATGAAATAACAGGGCAGACTTTGATGCAGGATGTGAGAAAAGCATCTTCCTCAAGCTGAGTATCTACATTAGGTTAACATTTAAGCTGTTAACTCTCTGAAACTAATTCTTGGTATTTTCACAGATTCAACCTAATAATTATGAACAAACTGTAGCTTCATGCCCAAAGAAAACGGTTAAAGATAGGAACAGTCTTGAAGACCTTTTAAGTAGCATGTAACAGTTCATTCAAACTAATGCTTTTCACTCTAAACTAGATAAAATTATTGATTTTATTGTGTAACTCATTCTTTTTGGATTTTGAGACATCAAGTGTGATTTAACCTGAACTAAATACACGTAGAAAAGGACCCAAAACAAAGTTTTTGATTGGCTAGCACTGCTACCTTGCAGGAAGAAGGTTGCGGGTTCAATTCCGGTCGGGGTCTATCTGCATGGAGTTTGCATGTTCTCCCTGAGCATGCGTGTGTTCTCCCCGTGTACTCTGGCTTTTCATCCCACACTCCAAAAACACGATTGTTAGGTTAATTCAGGCATCCCCAAACTCGGTCGCTGTCCTGCAGGTTTTAGAGGTTTCCTTGCTCCAGCACAGCTGATTTTAATTGAAAGCTAATTAACAGGCTTCGGCTCTACTGCAATCATGATAATCAGCTGTGCTAAAGCAGGGAAACCTCTAAAACCTGCAGGACAGCGGCCCTCGAGGACCGAGTTTGGGGATGCCTGGGTTAATTGGCTTCTCTATATTACCCACCTTAGGTGTGAGAGTGAATGGTAGTGTTGGACTAGCAACCTGTCAAGGTTGTATAGAGTTTGTAAGATTGGAAAAGGAAATTATTTTTGAAGTAAAGTCAAATGATATGTGAAAAATCTAATTTGGTTATATTTAAATTAACTGGTTTCTATACAAACATTAATTCTTGTTATTTTAGTTAAAAGTAAGTATATTAGGTTGGTTCATCAACTGAAATGTTCAAAGAATCATTTGGAACAGGGCAAAAATTTTAAGTTGTGTCAAGTGCAGTATTATTGTTTACATCAACATAATATATTCAGGTCATAACAAGCGATTAAATTCAGATTCTGTGAAGTCAAATATTTTAGATGTGATATCTGGACATCATTTATGTTAGTTTGAGCAAGGTTATAGTTTTTCCAGTGTACAGCCACTTCAGGAAATAACAAAAAGGTCTAGATCAGGTGTCTGCAAGCTTTTATGTCCAAAGAACCAAGAGGGAGTGTTGGCCTAATGGTTAGAGGAGTGAGCTTGTCCTCTGAGAAGATTGCAGGTAGCCGTTTCAATCCCCACAGCCTGAACTCTGGGTCCCTGAGCAAGACCCTTAACTCCACACTGCTCCCTGGGCGTTGCACAATGGCAGCCCACTGCTCTCTAAGGGGATGGGTTAAATGCAGAGGTAAATTTCTCAATTTTTATGATAAATAGAATTCAAATATTATTAATTTGCCACAAGTCTGGCTAAGTAAAAGTCATTTATATGACTTTAAATACTGCAGAAATCAAAGAAACATTTAACCTTTTTTTCTTACATAACCTTGATAAAATCTTTTAACCTGGAGTTTTGTTCTTTTTTCAACCAGTTTATCACATAACCAAAGCCTATTGCGGTACATTTAACGTTTTAATGTGATAAACTTAAGAAAACATCAGTAACATAACACTTTTTAATTCCTATTTTGCATACAAATTCAACCATTTTAAGTTTTCTTTTATTGTTAAATAAAGTATTGCTTGTTTTTTTCTACTTTTTTATAGTATTGCATTATAATATGTAGGCACCAATAAAGAAAATATGTGCAGACTTGAGTGGTTGTAGCATGAAGGAAGGGGTGAGGGAATCATTTATCAAGTGCCAAAAAAGAGACAGGAGTTTATTGTGATGTAAAGCTAGACAAATTGAGCTGTTGCTCAGGTTTGGCAGCTCTGCTAAAAATCTGACTGCACTGCTGAAGTAAACTTGCATTTCATTGAACCCATTTAAACTTATTTGAAGTTTTACTTTCATGATTGCATGCAGTGAGATGACTTCTCCAGCTGCTGTCAGTAGGAGTTTTTTTGCGCACACAAGCGGTGGTGTCAGGAGGCCACAAGCTTAACCTGAGAGCGGTGCAAGGTGTGTGCCAGGAGGCGCGTCTGAGGCCTGCAGGAGCGCCTTTTAAAGTCATTTCCATAAAAGCCAAACGTCTGCTTTCACACCAAACACATGCATTTTATCTGACTCTAAACGTGTTTCCACAGTCTTCAGTTAAACAAGCAGCAGTGGCCTTTAAATCACTTCCACCACCTCAGTTTGAGGAACAGGTTCTGGCTGATTTAAAATGCGCAGAGGAAACCAAACAGTTCATGCAAGGCCTAAAATCGGACGCCTGTGTTTGCTTCTAATCAATGAATCTGGCCTATTTGGAGCATGCATGTGTGAGTGTATCGGTGCAAACACGGGCCGCGTCCCGGTTCATGTGTGCCAAACGTTTGCAGATAAGCCAGAGTGCCTACTGAGAGAGAAACAACATCTCCAAACTTCTCTGCATCTCTTACCGCTGCAGCGCTCCGTCCTGGGCGCAGCGGCAGCTGCAGCCGCCGCGCCTCCCGCTGCCGCCGCCGCGCAGCCTCCATTTTCCTGCTCGTCTCCACTGCTGTTCGCGCGTTTGCTCTTCTTCCCTTTGCTGTTCTTCTGGTTGGGCATTTTACGGAGTTTGAAACGTCAACGGTTGCTGTTTCGACCTTCTTTTTTTTAAATCAGCGGCTGGTGTCAACGCTGTCTGACATTTCTGTTGACTCCATTTCTGCGGCGGATTTCGACGGTGCGTTTGCGGCGCTTTCTTTCTTTTATTTCACTCCTCTTGGTGTTTGAGGTCTCCTTCGGGGAAGAAGCGGACTTTGCGTTTCGCTGCAGGTAAAAGAAATAAGCTACTATAACCTTTAATGGTGAAGGCGTGTCCGCGTCTTGTTTTGATTCCTGCTCGGCTGTTTTCTTCCACCCCCTGACGTCAACTGGCCCCGCCCCCCTCTAGTGACTTTGGTCGACGTGCTGCGTTCAGGTACTATAGGTAAAAATGGATAACACTAATTTATAAAATGTCTGTAAATATATACATTGGTTTATTAACTTTGATAAATTAAAACACTTATGTGTGTATGCCTTTGATTATTTGCCCAAGTTGCCTCTGGAAGTGCAGAAAAACACACCTCAGATGGGATATTAATGCAATAATTATAATAGCTTTATTACAAGTTGGGCCTTATCTGGTAATGTGGCAGAAAGATGGACGTTGCTATTTCGAGGAGCATTTCCAAAAGGCGATATGTTGTGTAAAAAAAAAAAAAAAAAAAGCAGTTTACCATAAAAACACCATCTTTTTGTTTAAACATGGAGGCACCAGCATCATGCTGTGTGAAGCTGGTCAGAGCTGAAAAGAAAATGAAAAGTTTCCACTACAAGCTTCAGATCAGAATCAGAAATACTTTCATAATCCCAGAGGGAAATTACTTTTGTTACACGTTCCAGTTACAGTTTTATATATTTATACACAACCAACCACACAAGATAATAAAGATATAAATATATACACATATAAGTCTTCTGTATATATATATATATATATATATATATATATATATATATATATATATATATATATATATATATATATATATATATCCAAGTAAAGTGATAGTGACGTGCAAAAATAGTGCATAAATGTCAATTACAGAGGGGGAGTGTCTGAATCACTTGAGGGAGGCGTTATAGAGCAGGCATCCCCAACCTCGGCCCTCAAGGCCCGCTGTCCTGCAGGTTTTAGAGGTTTCCTTGCTTCAGCACAGCTGATTTTAATTGAAAGCTGATAAATCAGCTGTGCTAAAGCAGGGAAACCTCTAAAAATTGCAGGACAGCAGGCCTTGAGGACAAGGGTTTGGGATGCCTGTTATAGAGGAATGATTTCCTGTGGCATTCTGTGGTGCATCTGGGTAAGAGGAGTCTCCTGCTAAAGGAGCTCATCTGCTGGACCAGTGTAGTCTATTAATCACTAAATACTTCCAGCGGCGTTTATCTAATATGACTCCAAAAATATTCACAGATGGATGAGTCTAGTCAAATTGGAACCAAATCCTCCAGGAAAAGAACTACAGGAAACAAACATTAAATATGAAGCATCCTGCTTCCTCTTCCTATCTCTGTCCTATTCAGACAACACTATCACAGTAACCGCTGGGACACTTCCAGTAGGGCTAAAGTGTCCTTGCTGATTTGTAGCATTTGGATAGATCCTATAGATATAAGACTCTTACCAGTAAGAATTAAACAATCAGCTAGGTTTGAATGCAGTTTCGTAAATCTGGTTGAATTTCACTAGAATTAAGTGGTAAAAAGAAATTTTAAGCAAATTAAGTTAAACTAAACTTGAACAAAATTGATTGTTCGACTTTTAAATGTGTTTCAAAGGATTAGTAGATAAAGGTTGTCCTTGAAAAAAAACAATAAAATTAAAATAATCTTACATGGCCTCTTAGTTTTACATATTTTGTGAATTAATTTCATAAAACTTATTTATACAGTAAGAAATTGAAAAATGATAATTGTATTGACTTTAGTGCAACTAAATGCAATGTAGTAATAATTACTGTAATTAGCCAATCCTTCCTATCCATACCAATATATATATATATATATATATATATATATATATATATATATATGGAACAAGAGGCCAGAATGAGCATATTATCAAATACTTTTAGTATTTTCAACACTTGAAAACAACACCTGTAACAAATGAGCCCGTCTTTAAAAGAAACTGCATCCCAAATATAGAAAAACAATAACATTTCACATTTTCAAGTGTAAAGACTTTATTTTCAAAGCAGGTTCCACAGAACAAAGCCCAGTACTGTTGGTAATACGACATACAGTAACAATGCACCTAAATGCAAATGGCCTGAGTACCGACTCGGTTTAGGTCACTGACACACACACAGCTTCCTCATTTCCACAACGCTTAAAACTCTTGGGGTTCATTCTAACCGACGTGTTGCTGCTTCTCTTGGCCTTTAACCCAAAGCTCTGATCCGTTTATCGTCATCAAAACATACAGATCAAACAGAACAAACGCCTGCAGGAAAACTAAAAGGCAGAGTTGATGCAAGAGCAGATGGTCAAAAAAAGAACCTTGTCTTTCATTAGCTTTCAGTTGTGCTCAATTAAATTGACGCCATTTATTAAATTTAAAATCTTTGTGCAACATTTTTAAGACAAACAGAAAAAGACTCCATTTATCAGCAAGTTTTAAAAGTCTGAATATTTTTTTCTAAAATAGACAATCTATGCATCTCTACGAATAGTATTTCAAAGTTTTCACACAAACCCAGGTGTGTCCTGTGCCACCATAAACAGAAAGAAGCGTATTATATAGTTTGAAATTGAGTTAAGTAGTCATAAGTAGACCAATCATATAGGATTAACAATAATAAACCCCCCTCATTTAAAAAGGAAATGTTTTAAGAGCGTATATAGGGCCATGGGACAGTTATTAAGCACATTTTTGGTCCTGAGAATCATTATTAGAACAATTCCACCACTGAAGGCTGCACAAGAAATACATTCACCATTTGATCAGTAGAAGTTTCCACAAAGGCATTTTTTGGTTATTTGTAAAGGAACTTCATTAGTGACATTTAAAAAGAGCATCTTTGTTTTTTTGTGGTTATAAATCAGACGAGCAGCTAGGAAATCTCAAAATGCACTTCTAACGTTCTTTGTGGTCAAAAAAATAATGAGCTGTTCTAAAAAGCTCAAAAAAAGTCTTGTTTTAAAGTCCACAAGAGGTAGTAGAAGTGGCTCATGTAAACAGTACGCAGAGCAGCCATGTTGTCAAAAGCAACTGCAATTTACACTACTGACGCACATTTTTTTCCATCTGTTGGAGAAACAGCTGCTTTTAGATCGCACACTCCAGTAAAGACAATCACAGATATTGGACATTGTTCCTAAACAGTGGTATTCTCATAAAAGCATCTGATTGGGTTCTAACACTTTCATCAAAAACACAACATAAAAAAATAAAAACATAGATTTAATTTCCACTTTGTGCATCTTTAATGATTGGATTTGTAGGAAAATGATATATATGGTTTATAAAAAAGCGTTGCCTTGAATGGGTCACCACTTTTCCCTGAACTCCTGAATCAAAAGGTTTGCCTCCATCTCAGGAAGACGGAAATATCAGTTTCTCGAATAATCAACTTCCAGCATAATCTGTATTAACATTTTTTTTTTTTTTTTTCAGCTTCAAAATATTCAGATCGTAAAACTCAGGACAGCGTAGAAGTGCAGAAGAGTATGTTAATTTTCCAGAAACCAAGCTTCCCATTTTAAACATGCCTCCTTAGAGGATTTATGGACTTAATGTCAAATAGCTGGAAGGGGGAAAATATCCAACAAAAAAAATGCACTAATTTCTTTTTCTTGTTTGGAAATTTGTAACCTAACATGAAACCCCTCCTGGAGTCTATAACCATTTAGAGCTGCTGCCTCACTTA